CTTACGTGACTATACTGTGTCTGCCAAATGGTGTCTAGACGCTCGAGCAGCTTTGACTAATTAGTGTAGTCACCCCACTCACTCAGCTTTGGCATTTACGTACTCTTTATGTTGCTGTTGTTGTGCCATAAATAGGTACCTAAACACCAGCAGCAATGTAAAGAGAGGTGGCAGTGAGCACGTCCAGTCTTCACCTAACATTGCCGGGGTGAGCGCAGAGGGCAGCAGCCCTGCATGCACTAACGGGGCAAGCAGTGGTAACTGCTCGCTTGGACATCACAGCCTACATGCACATGGTCAGCAGGAGATCTGGCTTCAATGTCGTTCTTGGTCTGAAGATCACCACCGCTAAGGCAAGGCTAAGAGAGAAGATTTCTCTCTCTCAGGGCTCAGCCCTCGCATACCAGCAATTGGAGATGCATACGGCCAGAGAGAAAAAAAGAAGTAAGAGAAATCAACGCCTGCCAGCCCAGCAGTCGTGGTCCATCTTGCGGAGGACTCATGGCTAGTTTGTAGAGCTGCTTTCCAGTAGGCCGTGATTTACACCAGAGGCAAACTAAAAATGCAGATTTAGAAATTTTCTGCAGCTTCATCATTTGTATCATGCTTTTAAAAACTGCACCAGCACTGAAGCTGAGGCGACCAACTTTAAAGAGGAAGAACTGATAAATATCAAAGATAATTTCAGAACATCAAAAAACTTTTACAAAACTTTGAGAATAAAAACTAGTGAAAACCTAATCAATGTTGCCTACGCAACAGGCTGTGCTAATATAAAATGAAATTGCCTCAAAACTAATATGCAGATTAAACACAATACTGCTATTAACAGAGCTTATTTGTAAGCAAAATTTGAAAGTTTGATTTGTCCTGCTGAGTATTCGAAGAACCACTATCATAAGGAAAACAAATTAACTTTTTTTTCTTTGTATTTTTAACTGTTACAAATGATTTTACTGGTGCTAATACAAAGCATTAGAGAGTAGCAGGTTTGGGATTTTTTTCTCTTCTTCTCAGAAAGACCGTTTGTTGTTTGAGCAGATTTTCTCTGAATTTGCCAATAGGATTATTCTTGTTTTTTCAGTTAGTGGTATACAAAATATTTAAAGTAAGCTTTCCAGAAGATCTGCAGTTTACTTTGAGGAGATTTTCCAGGGCTAAGATAGGAGTCATTTAATTTGTGGGTTTTTTGCCCTACAAAGAGAGGAATTTTTTTTTCTTTCAAGGAAGAAGATTTCTGTGTGGTTCTCTTCAGTTCTTTTTTTTTTTTTTTTAATGCAAGGGAAGGGAAAAAAATCATTAAAGCTGCTGTGCACAAAGAGGATTTGTGGTTCTTCACCAGAAAAAGAAATTAATAGTTCCTTTTACATGTGGTCCTGCTATGTGTTATGCACATTGTAAAACTGCCCGTCTCTCTCGCTCCAGCCATCTAGCAAATAGATGCACATAAGTGTGTTGCACACATAAAATGGTGCACACTTAAAGGCACACGTGCTGCAAGCTCTGTTTGTCCCCTGGATTACCAAACTGCTCAGTCATAGGTTAGACACTTACCCACAAGTTACTACCTACAGGTTGCTTCCCACTGGAGGAACACCAAGTTAACACAATGTGCCTATTTTTTGTAGGACTGCTATCATCTGATTGCTCTTTTTCAGCATCCCTAAAAGGATTGTCTTTTACCCAAACAGTTCTTAATATCATGTGCAATACTTAAGGATAAATGGTAATATGGTTCCTAATTAGGCTAATTTGTCTCTCTCTAGCTAAATAGCAGTACCACTGTTTTGGTAATGCTGATGAGCAGACTGTCATCAGTGCCACTCTACTGGAAATGTCTGGGGCTAGATCTTCAGTCAGCGTTAATCAGCAGATCTTCACTGAAAATGTTGGAGTTATTCTATGGCAGATGGAGGTCTGTCTCTGTTTTTATTTGCTGGCCTTAACTTTATCTCCAGTGGAAAGGAATCCACACAAATACCAGGTGTAGTTAACAGCTCAGGAGATAGTGAGAACTTTGACAGTATGAAGTTTGCATCACTCACTAGGGAGGAGGGGTATGATGATGTCCAGTAATGTTTGGACTAGAGCTATCAGAACTATATTTGGCTTATGAAAACTTAAATGTGCAACATTGTCAGATCATTAACTTTTATGACCACAAAAACTCTTCAGAAATTAACACAGAAATCAAGCTGTAGGCAAGAGGATCAGCAGAGCAATTTTTAGCCTCCTTTAGGGTTTACAACAAACAAATTCTTTAAGCAGTCTGGGTAGTAAATGACTGGTATTGGTCCATAGTTATCAGTCCTTAAAAACATTTAGAGAAGAAGAATCTATTAAATGGTCTCCGGACCAATGCACCTAATAATCTAAGGGAGAACTGGATGATTAGGAATGATGAAATGATGGCAATAAATGTTTTCAGGATTCTGAAGATGCCAATTGCATAATTGCAGCTTCAGAAAGATTTGGTTGTGGTCACATAAATAATGAAATTTAAATCTGAGGAGCTACTTTGTTTAGAAACACAAAAATACTGCACATAGAGCGGGCTTGCTTCTACCATGGCAAAGGTTTTTCATACTGAATAGATGCAATAGGCTCTCTTCTGTCCTAAAACAGACTTCACCCAGGTATTAGCAGAATTCGTAAAAACCTTAGGAACTATCAACTGCCTTTGTTCCCATTTTCTTAGAAGGCTGGATCCAAGCCACTGTCTTAATTATTGACTGAGAGGGGAATTGCTGTAGTAACATAGGGTTTCCTTGCCCAGATTTTCTGCATGGTGCTGCTATTTATCTCTTCCCATACCTTAGAATCCATTTCTTCTCAGCCTGTCCCCTGGTAGGTACAGTATATGTTCACCAGCAAAGTAGAGATTTTATGGAAATTTAGAAATTTATATATGTACATATAGGGTGTCTTGAAGGATTGGTAGAGAGCTTGACTTTTTAAAGGCAACTGGCTACAGATGCCCATCTCAAGGTTAAACAGTTAAATAAGGGAAGGGAGTGAGTGAAAAGGTTACAGTTGACTGTGGTTTAAAGGCAACCATGGATTTTCTGGTGTCAGTACAGTTAGCAAGGGATGGAACTAAAAAGAGGTCATGAGAATAGCTCAGATAAATTCAGGTACAGTTTGCATACAGGCTATTTATAGGATGCTTTCTCAAACTATGCCTGTGAACCTTTTGAAGTTTGCCCATCACTACTTTCAGGCCAATTAATGATGTACAAGCAATCCCATTCTGAGATAGGTAAAACAATAAAGCAAACAAAGATAATTAGTCTCTGGAGCATGTAAACAAATAAAGTAAATCACTCGCAAATCACTTGTTTCTGCTAACTTTTGTGTTTTCGCTGCAAATCTAAAAAAGAGTGTTTATATTGTAAATCTACATAATGCTAGAGCAGTGCTGAAAATGCATAGATTATACTATTCTGATTTTGAGAGGGCTTTGTGAAGATTAAGCACCTGATCCTGAAACATCACTGTGAGTTGTTATATGCAAAAGAACATTTTTATCCCTTTTTCACAGAAAAGAAGATCGAAGTGGGAAGGTTAAATAATTTTGTTCGTGGAGATAAAGGTCTAAATGACTCTTTATAAATAAACAAAAGCCACTGCTCCAAGTTTACAAGTGTAAGTGAAAGCACTAATGGAGCTGAGGAGAGCAAGGCAAGATGGGCAGGAGAGTGACTGTAGGATGTGGGACCTTGACCCACCTCACTGATGCCTCTCAAATTTTACAGACCTGAATGGGAGCATTATGTGGCCTTTAAAGCGCTAATAACCAGAAGAGTTCCTGGCTGCTAGTCCTTTCTTTTGTTTTCCAATGTAGTAGTAATCTGTTAATTGCCACACAGCTTCAATGTTAGTCTTAAAGCATTTTCTATCTCATAAATACTTACAAATATCTTAAGGGTGGATGTCATGAGGACGGAGCCAGATTCTTCTCAGTGGTGCCCGGTGACAGGACAAGGGGCAATGGGCACAAATTGAAGCATAAGAGGTTTCAGTTGAATATTAGGAAGAACTTGTTTACTTTGAGGGTGACGGAGCACTGAACAGGCTGCCCAGGGGGGTTGTGGAGTCTCCTTCCTTGGAGATACTCAAAGCCCACCTGGACGATGTCCTGTGCAGCCTGCTCTGGGTGACCCTGCTTTAGCAGAGGGGTTGGACTAGATGATCTCCCAAGGTCCCTTCCAACCCCAACTGTTCGGTGATTCTGTGATTCTATAAGTAAGCAGCGCTCTCCCCCTCTTGGACACAGAGTAACTGAGGTAAGTGAAAATAATACAGCCATTCAGCAGCAGAACTCGATGCAGATCACACATTCCCTTCTTCTCAGCCCTGGGCTCAATACTGAAGACTTTGGATAAACGCACATTTTACCAGAACAAATAGATTCTCAGTACCATGGCTCCGGGGTGCTGTGGAGACCATGCCATCTGGACCTGCCTGCTACCCCAGCTCAGCTGCCTGGTTCTGCGGGCCAGTCCAGACCAGGTGTAAGCCCGTTCCCTGGAAACTCAGGGCAGGACCAAAGCAGGTCCTGCCTCAAGTCATGTAGTAACAGGACTCTGTGAGCATAAACATACAGTTTTGTGTAATCAGTAAAACAGCAGAAACTGTGTTCTGCGTCTGTAGAATAACAGATTCCAGTTAGAGTTCCAGGCAAAATGACTGTTCGTGTGATAAAATCGCTCTTTGTCTTTTTTTTGGCATGAAAATGCAGAGCATTTCTTTTAGTAAAGGGCAGGCGTTTCCCTGTTCTGTCCCTTTTTACTGTTTTCTTACACTTTTTTTGTTCCGACTTCAAAAATGGATTGTGGGAAGAGATGCATCTCAGAAAGAGAGTCTCATCAGCTGAAATGTGTCCAATATATATATAAATTAAAGAATACTAAGCCTTGTCCGAAAATAAAAAGAGTGTAAAAGGTAAGAATGCCTGCAGGCTTGATTTTTAAAGATACGCATTTTTCTTCATGTTGCAGGTCTCGCCTTGCAGATTTCTTCACAAACTGCCAGCCTGAGTCACGGTCTGTTAGTAGCTGTCTGAAGGAGAACTATGCTGACTGCCTCCTCGCTTACTCAGGGCTTATTGGTAAGAAGACAGGGAAGGGTGGGGGCTTGCTCAGTCTAAGAAAAACATCCGAACTATATTTTGAAGGCCCACATGAAATAAAAACAGTGGAATATAATACTCTAAAATATACTAGGCAAAACTTTCCACCTAAAGGTATTGGCCCTGTTTTACCTTACAGAGATTCCTGGGGTAAATTTGTACATTGCAAGGAAACTAAGGATAGAAGATAAGGAGAGAAAGGTGCTTGAATCTGAAATAAATTCAAGCTTACAAAGTAAAGCTTATTAAGGTGGTTGAATTCGGACAGGATCGTGAAGTAGGAAGTTAAAAAGAACAAGTGAAACTGCAGCTTGGTTGATTTTGCAGCTGACATCTCAAGGTTGGATAAATACCTCGTGGTCTTCAGGGACAGTTTGCAGGACATTTGAGGAATGACACAATAGACCAACCCAGCCTTGTTTCACTTCCAGCTGCTATTCTTTCCATGATGTCCTTCTGTCCACTTTAAAAGTTTTCTGACGTGCCTGTCAATGGAGGTGAAGTGAGACCAAATTTATCTTCTGAAACCTTCTTCCCTCCCCAGCATAATTAATTTTGTTTGCTGTCACCTTCCTGACTGTCAACAGGCACAAGGATGCCTTTATGCAAGCCAGATTCCATATGCTGCACACAGTATTTGATTCCTGAAAGAGAGCGGTCACCCCAGGAAGGTGAACTTGTTGTAGAAATACTATGGTTGGGCAATAAAGAATTAGTGAATGTCAAAACTCTGAAACAAACAAATTTTAAAGGCCACCAGATAAGATTTTTTAAGCTTACAGCCTGCACCTGCTGCAATGCAGTAATATCCCCTTCTGTTGGGCGTGAAGGTCCCAGCTGAGGCCCTGAAGCAGATCCTGCTGTTAAATAAATGTCTCTGGAGATAATATCCAAAATAAAATACTTCTAAAATAGGTTGGGTTTGCTGGAAAATGACTGAAAGCTATATTTGCTGGCTTTTTGTTATCATTCTTACTACTCTAGCAGCTAACCAGTGAGGTAAGTCCATGTGGCAACTGGTAAAATAAGATGTGATGGCTTCAAAGGATATGCTTCCACGACTTAAGAGATGAAGACAGTATGTAAAGGGTATAACATATGAACAGTTATGACAGAATGTCATTTGACTCTAAAACAAAGAATTGAATAGCCTTGAAATCTGATCTGGTCAATGAGATTAAGAAGTCTAGCTGCTGGCAAAGAGTAACTGTTACTAATAGATACTTCTGGGTAAGAGCTGCCAAGAAGTTCTTGCTGGACCTGGTGAATTTTGCTGGCAGTTTTGTTGGATCCATTTTTCAATTTAACCCCAAGGATGACCCAGTTCCTATAGTCGTGTGTTCTTGTGTTACTGTGGATGGCCATGCTACAAAACACCGCCACACATCAGAAATGTGGAATGGATCCCTAAGGAGTTGAAATCAAAAGGAGATCTAATTTTCAAAGGGAAAATATTTCCTGCTAGCCCCTAGACACATGCAAAAAAAGATGGTTATTGACTAGTGTTACAAGAGTTTTTGCTTCTTGGTAGTTATTCTGATAAACCAAGAAAATTACTAAGCCAAAACTTTTATGTGCTGAAGAGGTAAATTCCTGCTTCTGATACAAAGCTCATATAAAAGTGGAGTAAATTATGTGAAGATCGTCAAATTTGTAAGATGCTGAGATAGAAATCAGAGGTACAGTCTTTCAAATGTCCGCTTAATATATACAAAACACAGGAAGAAGCACTAGATAGACTGTGGGTAAGGAGCTGTTACAGATCCATTCATTCATCAGAGCTTCAGGATCTCCAGGTGTTTTAATTAAGATAAAATATTGTTCATTTAGATAAAATGTTATTTCATTTAGGCATTTCATTAAATGCAGCAAAAACTGTGCCTCCATTCAGTTTATTCAGGAAATTGAGGATTCTCTATGGCAAGAACAGTGGATGTGATTCTGCTGTCAGATATAGGGATGTAAATCAGAGTTAGCAGATTTTCAGTTCACTGAAATTAGTGGAATCCCACAAGAAATAAATGACTTAAGTGGGAATAGGGTCAGGCAGTTTTTGTATCAGGTGCTTTACCAGTTAAATGGAGAACAGTCTATATAGGATTCTTTAAGGTTTGCATCTAGGTGTTATATATATAATTTTAAAGTTATGTATATTTTACAGGCATTTTGAAAATCTTAATTCATTGCTTTAGGCTCCTTGTTATAGTAATAGGGATAAATTAATATTTTTTTTACAAATGAAAGGAAAAATATAAAAATTATTGAATGTAGAATAAGGTTGGAGATAGCCATGTTTGAGATTCAATGCTTTGGTTACAGCGTAGTTAAGCCATCTGTACTTGTCTGCACTCCCACTTCAGTTAGGTATTGCTCTAACTGCTGACTTCAAGATCTGCTTTAGCATTCACTTTCTGACATATTCAGTTGTTTTCCATAAAATCCATCTAATTTCCTTGGGATTCCCAGGAATTCCATGAGCATTTATGTGAGTAAACTGGAGTTGCGTTGGGCCAAAGGAACTCCAGTCACACACCCCTCCTCCTGGATTCACTATCTATCTCCTCATTCTTGATTGACCTTCAACCTCTTGGCTGTGTTCAGGTCAACTCTGCTTTTGTCTAAAATCTGGAGACCCAACTGCCTACTACCGAGACCATCACAGAACTGTTTGACAGAAAGAACACAGAAAACCAAACATGTCCTATTTTACTGCCAACCACCATGGTTTCTCTGATCCGTTAGTGTCCTTCAGCAGAATTTCCAAGATGCCAGCTAGCGGGGGGGTGTGTGTGTGTGTGTGTGTGTGCGGAGGAGGGGAAGGCACACACATTGCAGGGAAAAAAGAAAATCCACCCCAGGAAACCAAGCATATAATCCGCTTGGGTTCACATCTGCCCCCAGGTTTAAATGACAGGCTGATTTTCTACTAGCTGCTCTTTCAGCCACTCTGGTTTTGCTGGATGTACAGTTTGTGTGCTGTGTATACACATTCCTTGTCCTGTCTTTCCTGTATTCATCAACCCTAATCGTAGCGTGGTACCTGTTACACTTTTAGCCCCTGTCTTGACCCATTTTAATTACCTTATTACCTCTTTATGATAAGAAAGTCTTACCTCAGTGACCTTTTTAATTTCCTCAATACCCTTCTGTTTTTTAACCCTTCACTAAGCGTTTGCTACTTAGCTTTTTTTTTTTTCTTTTGAAGCTTGCTGTTTTCTTTCCATTTGCAAAATCCTCTTGATTTTCCTTTTGTCTCACTTCATTTCAGATCACGTCACATGGTTGAAATAGTGTACTGAACCATCAAATGGATAATGGACAGATATTATAATTTGTTTTATTTTAATTTAACATCATTCCTCTTCTTATTTATCTACTGCCAAGTTTTCATTAATGGTGCAAATGATATTTGTCTATTTTACTAAATTCTCTTACCTCCATTTAATAAATTTTGAACTGTGCTATTTACTCGTGTACTAATCTATGTAGAATTTGAGCAATTATTACTGCAACTATCTGTTAAACGTTGGAAGTAGATAAAGGTATGGGATTGCATTCTAATTTAAGAACATCCCAAAACAAGACAAAAGATGCTTTTTGTGAGTTTGGCAGCGGGACTGCATTCATTTTCACATACTTTACTGCCTTTCTCAGGCCAGCCCTTAATGTCTCTTCTCCTTTGTCTCCCAGATCATGTATGAAGCGGTTTGCATGTTGATTTGCTCAGTTCCCAGCGCTGCCTGCTGACTGAAAGGCTATTTGACGTCATTCTGTGATTTGTGTTATTTCTAATGTTCCTTTTTTTTTAGCTTGGTTGTTTGATGGCCCTTTCCTGTGTGGTGTTGCAGACTCTGGGACCCTGGACCTATGGACCAAATTTTCCCTGCTAGCGTACACTTCGGCTCTCTAATATTTATCCTTCATCTATTCCATCTTCTTAATGACTACTTTGATGTCAGTTTAGAAGAGATGTGCTCACATTTCCTTATGGTATATAGCCTGTCCTAGAACTGTAGATTACCAAGTGAGGAACGTGTTTCCTGAAACAGCTGTCATCAGTACGAGTCTGGAATACCTGCCCTTTTTTATTTATTTTTTCCTGTTTGGTCAGACAAATAAAATAAATGTTCAAAATTCTCGGTCCTTCGGGAAGTTTGAAATCTCTGACCTGCCGGGGCGATGCCTTCAGTGAGACTACTGGTTTGAGTAAGTGCTGATCATATAGCAGTTGCCTGATCCAGATGAGTGATGAACAGTTGCTGTATATCTTTTAGGACACAAAATGCATTCTTTGGTTTCATTTCATTCTTGGTAGCCTTGAGCTGACATATAAATGTGAGAATATTTACCCAAGAATTTGTAACGGAGTTAGAATGAATCTGTGGTTGCAAGTTGCTGACAATGTTTAGGAAACAATCACTGTAGTGAAGAAGTAGTGACACAGCAAGATTAATAGTAATTTATTACCTGCAAAGAATCTACTGTACCGTTTTATGCATGCTGGTTATGTTTTTGCTTTGTTCATCGCCGTAACCACTCTGTTGGCAGGTCCCTGACGAGTCCCTGGGGGTCAACGCTCCTCCAAGATGTATTAGGGCTCCTCTCAGCATGACTAGCATTCTCCTTGCTCATGCATTTCAGAAGTGTTTTTCTAGGCTGGTCGCAGACTCAAAGAGGAAGCTCAGGTCTGGATGTCTACTTTCAGCCATTTATTTGCAGCTAGAGCGAAAATGAGAAAAAACCACAAGCGAGGAAGAAAAATTGGATTTTTAGAGTGCAGCTGTGAGGGTGCAGGTCCACATATGTTTGATTTGGCAGCAAAGCCCTTTTAAGAGGTTCCCACCTTCTCCCAATCCATCCCTCCCCTGTGCCACGGTTTTCCACTTGTCAGTTCTGCTGATGCAGCTCTCTGTGGGAATGCAATATAAAACATCCTGGAGGAAAGGAACGGGTCTTTAATGTGTGAGTCAAGTTACCGTCCCCAAAGTGGTTTCATTCAGACAACCGAGGGTGTGAAGTACGGCACAGGGCTGGGCGTCAAAGGGCAAAGGGAGCCAGGAACTGTTAAGCTTGGAAGTTAGAGGCCTGCCATGGGTCTGCATTGTGAATCGATCTCTGAATACACAACTTACCAAGCGCTGTTTGCTGTCTTCTTAGTATGGAGGGAATATTTCAGTGCAAAGGGTACTCACAGTACTTCACTCTTTGTTAATAGGCACAGTGATGACACCAAACTACATCGACTCAAACAGTCTCAGCGTTGCCCCATGGTGTGACTGCAGCAACAGTGGTAATGACATTGATGAATGCCTGAAATTTCTGAATTTCTTCCAGGACAATACATGCCTTAGTGAGTACAAAATTATATGCCTTTAAATGTGTTTTAGCATGTTTTCTGGACTTTCTTTACTGTTTAATTATGTTAGGATACATCAAGCCATCTCTTTGCACTTTGTAAGCGTGGTTCTGCTGTAAGTGTAAGAATTAAAGAGACACGCAAAATATGCCTGATACTATGGTTTATGGCCAAGATTGCAAACATAAGAATTTCTTGGAAAAAAATTCAAATAACAAAGCTGCATCATATAGAAATATGTTTACATCACAGATCATGTTCATATCCTAACAGTCAGGCAGCATCTGTACCAAAAAATTGCAACACCTGAGGGCCTTCTGTATAATTTACGAACTTCATAGAAAAAAGACATGTAGTTTGTGATATGAAGGATTTGCTGTAGGTAAGTATAAATTGGATTGTACTTGCAATTTATAGCCCAGCTTCAGGTTTTTTAGGCTACTTGATCTCAGATGCCTGGTTGTAACACAGGTCTGGATGGTACCTATTTTCATGATTTTGTTAAATTATTGATTTTTTTTTTCAGTCACACTCACTTCCAAATTAGGGACTATTATAAATTTCAGAATGGCTCAGTGGAGTCAATTTTGGCAGGTTCTCTTTTCAAATTTCCTGTCTGCCTGGAGCAGCATAATTGGATGATGTGGAGTGTGCATCAGAGTTTTAATTTCAGATAAATGAGGAGACCAAAAGAGCTTGGCTTCCCTAGCCTAGCAGAACAGAAGTTGAAAGGATACGTGATTGTCCTCTGAAATTGCATTACAGGGGCAAGCCCAGGGAGGGAAAACGATTACTTAACCTAGGGGACAATGTTGGCACAAGATCAAAAGGGGAGATATTGGCCATACATATTTAGGCTCAAAATTGGAAAATTTTTAACCATCAGATTAAGGTTAGGAAATAGGATTCCAGCAGGAGTTTTGAGGGTAAAAAATTGTTACCAGTTTTAAAAGTCATTGTTGTGGTTTAACCAGCTAAACACCACACAGCCATTCGCTTACTCCCCCCTCCTGCAGTGGGATGGGGGAAGGAATCGAAAAAAAAGTTAAATTTGTGGGCTGAGATAAAGAGAGTTTAATAGGACAGAAAAGGAAGGGAAAACAATAGTAGCAGTAGCAGTAGTAGTAGTAGTAGTAGTAGTAATAATAATAATAATAATGATGATGATGATGATGATGATAAAAGAATATACAAAACAAGTGATGCACAATGCAGTGCCCACCACCCGCTGACCAATGCCCAGCCCGTCCCTGAGCAGTGATCGCTGCCCCCCAGCCAACTCCCCCCAGTTTCTATACTGGGCATGATACCATATGGTCTAGAACAGCCCTTGGGCCAGTTGGGGTCAGCTGTCCTGGCTGTACCCCCTCCCACCTTCTTGTGCACCTGGCAGAGCAGGGGAAG